AATTAAATTAAGAGTCAACAGCTAAAAGGTGGAAACATTTTTATGTTTAGGAATTAAAGGTGCTCTGGGCTTGGCGGGGGTGGGTATAGCTCAATGGTAGAGCATGTGCCTAGCATGCAGGAGGTCCTGGGTTTAATCACTACTACCTCCCTTAAATTTTTTTTTTTAATTTTAAAGATTCAAAAAAACTTTCACTACAAAAAAAAATTTATTTTGAAAAAGAAAGAAGTTAAAAGTGCCCGTCCAAAAGGCAATAAATTTAAGAGGAAGCCATAATAAAACTGTATGTTTTTAAACTTTAACAATAAAATAATTATCAACCAAACAATCAATATAAAAATAAAAATTAATGTGTTTGAGTTAAAAAATATACTGATGTCTGGCACACAGCACACACTCAGGATTGTATCTCTAGGAAAGAATCTCAGCCTCTCTGGTGGTAGTTTCCCCAACAGTAAAACAGGAATACGAGTATCTGAGAACATGAGACACATCAGCCTACGCTGTAGGGCTCCATCCTGGTCCCTGTTCCGATGTCCCCTCCTCAGAGAGGCCGGGCCCATCTGTCCTTCCACCTAAGGCTGTGGCCCCATCACTCTTTTCTCTTCCCCTGCCCTCTTTTTCTTCAAAGCTCATAGTCCCTGCCAGGACAATTTGCTTATTTATTGCCCGTTTCCCCTTCTAGAATGTAAGCCCCAGGAGTCAGGGACTTTAGTCCCTTTCATTTGCTGCTGTCCCCTCCTGTTAGAAGAGTAGGACACACCCTTGGGGCCCAACAGAAACTCAAATGAATGAATGAATGAATGAATGAATGAATGAATCTACTGGAGCACAAAGCAAGGTGCCCTGGAGCCAAATTCCCTCTCCTCCTTCCTTTCCCACTCAGCCTCCCTTCCATCGGTACCCAGAGGGCAGGAAGCAGAGAGGCCAAGCCAGCCTGCGAGTCTCTGAAGCAAGGTCAGCCCCTGGACTGGAGGGGGACACAGCCCTTCTGGGCCCCAGCGACCTGAAAGCTGTCCTCCCCTGAGACCCGCCCTGAGACTGTGTCTGAGTGGGACCTCACCTGTTTGACCCTTGCACCTCAAGCATCTCTCCTGGGTCCCATTTCTAAAGGAGCCCATCCCTACCCTTCCTTCTTTTTCGCAGGAAATATTCACAGAAGGCTGGGGCGGCCCGGGCCCTGACGAGACAGCGGCAGAGCACGTTCTGCAGGAAGGAAGCCTTGGGAGGGCTTTTCAGGGTGGAGAGTCCAGGGGGCCAGACACTGGGGGCTCGTGGTGGCCGTGGAGGAGGGTGTGTGCAATTGAACGGGAGCCCCTAAGTCACACGCTTGTCTGGAGAGGTTTCGGACAAGGAGATGCTCCCATCTTTACAAGATGCTCAGAGGCAGTGCCTGGCCCATCTGCCCGCCCAGGGCCATGGGGAGTCTGACCCTCACCTGATAATGCAACACTGGTCCCTCCTGTCCTTCTTCATGTTGAAGTAGCAGCTGTTGGCGATGGCAAAGACGTGTGGCGGCAGCTCGCCCACATGGCGGTTGTAGTACAGCTGCACCTGCTCCGCGGTGTACAGGGGCAGCACCTGGAACGGGTTCACGGCCACCAGGATGGAGCCCGTGTAGGTCTGGGGAAGGGAGCGGGTGGTTAGTGGCCCCCGTTCTGAGGACCCGCGTGGCCTTGCCCTGACCTTGGCCTTGGCTGCAACCCCGAGGGCTGACTTTGGCGAGGAGGTGGGGTCTGATGCTGGGTGGAGAGACGAGACTGTCAGCTGCTCAGATACCCCCCTGGAAAGATAAGGGTGTTCCCCAGTCCTGAGAGCTCTGCGTGGGGGCAGGGATGGTGGTGTATTCACAGGAACATGAAATGAGGTGGCTGTGGGTAACGCTTAGCACTCAGTCTGGTATTTAAAAGAGGCTCAAGAACAAAGGATGGACCGTATGAAATGAGGCTTCACCTGCCTCCTACAGGGGCCTCTGCGAGGATGGGCCACAGCGGTCACCCTTGCTAACCCCTCCTGGGACCTCAGCTCAGGATCTCCTGCACATCTGGAGCCTCCACCAGGCTGGCTGCTCCTCTGGGGTGGGACAGGGACAGCCACCAACAGTCCTGTAATCACCCAGATCTTCCTTCTCATTTTAGGAATGGAAAGGGTAATCTCTCTGGCTCAGGACTAGGGCAATCAGATAAAAGAATTCCAGCATAGGCCCTTTGGAAGGGATGAGCTGCAAGTCAATTAGCTCATTGCTGTTCCGTCCCAGGAGCTGAGCCACGCTCAGCCAGTGACTCAGAGTGCCCAGTGCCTCTTCCGTCTCTGCTCCCAGCCCTCCCTTCTATTTGGGTCCCTGCTCACTCTCCCACTCTTCTGAGCATCCCACAAGCCACCACTCCCGCTGAGAGACCCAGGCAGATGGTGACTTCCCCAGGTCACACCCACTGATGGCAGGGCTGGGATCAGTTTGGGAATTCCACCTCTCCTGGGAAGTCCGCATTAAAGCAGGATGCTGGCCTTCAGGAGGGGGTGAACCTCCCATCCACTGCCAGCCTTTGGGAGAAGGACCTACATCCACCCATACGACCCTCCTGGTCATACCACAACTCACTTCCTAGGAGGGCAGGGGTCTCCTGCCCAGGGACCCTGTTTCTGTCACCACCTGGAAGGAACCATGCAGAAGACAACCCCCCAGGGGCTCCAGTCCACTTGGCCCTCAGAGCAGTCCTTCCGCTCAGCCACAGATGGGTTCTTCCCCAACCCGGGGGTGGCATGTGTGGACAGGGTGGGGGGGACTTACGTAGATCTTGTGCTGCTGGTAGCGGATCAGGAGGTTGTGCACCATGCCCGCCTCGTTCAGGTCCCCCAGGCAGATCATGTCATCCACGCCCTGAGCTGAATTGGGGTGCATGGGGCTCAGGGTGCTAAGGTCCTCTGTCCGGATCCAGTGTTCCTGGAACAAAGGGCACAGACTTTCTTGAGTGGTAGCCCTGGCCTGGGCCAGCCGGCTGCACCTCTTCTCATGTCCTCGACAGGTACGCCCACTTGGTGGCCCGCGCCTGGCCAGGGTCGGTCTGTGCTGAAGGTCAAGGGAAACCTGTGACAGGATCAGGTCACTCTGGGGCTGGAGTCAGCATGTGTCTAGGGCCAGGGGTCAGTGCGTAGCTGGCACTACAGGTGAACTTCAGACCAGGGCCTGAGGAACTTGTAGCCAGAAGTTAGATTTGGGTTTTGCAGCTGGAATAAAAGTGTGCAAGTAAAAGTGTTTTTAAATGGCATAACATGGGGGGAGGGTAAAAAAATGGGGGGAGGGTATAGCTCAGTGTTAGGGTGCGTGCTTAGCATGCACAAGGTCCTGGGTTCAATACTCAGTACCTCCATTAAGAAATAAACAAATAGCCTAATTACCTTCCCCAATAAATAAATAAGTAGGTAAGTAGATAAACAGATAGATTAAAAATAAAAAATAGAAACAAGCCCAAAAAACCTTTAAAAATAATTAAAAGTTTAAAAATTGTTAAAAATAAATAAATGGCATAACATCATTTTGCAAATAGAAGATATTTTTGTTAATATTTTACTGGCTTCCATATGAAGGAGCTCACAGGTCACAGTCTAGAATTTTCTCCTTGGAGGCCAAGCCTCCACATGTTCCACTCTGCAGCCCCTCAGCCAAGAGGGTTTCCCGAGGAGGATTTAGTGACCAGCTGGACCTTTTCCCCGGCATGCCCTTCCCCACTGTCCATCACCTGCCCCTCCTGGGCCCCCCAGGTGGCTGAGCTGGCCCCCCTGAAGACCAACCTGAGCTTCCTACCTTCCTATATCTGAGCTGCTTTGCTCACCACGAGCTGAGCCTCCTCCCCTTCCTTCTGACACCCCAGGGCCCTCACTCTGAGCATCTTTCTCACACACCTTTCTCTCCCTCCATCTGGTCCCTCCTGCTCGCCCTTCTCTACTTTGCAAACAAGCTTTCTGCCCTCCAATCCTCTCTGCCACTACCCTTTCCCACTTCATTCCTTCCTACTCCCCTAATTATCCTAGTTTTTCATCTGCCAAACTGACCCCTACTTCCTCATTTTAGAAACAATCCCCATTGACAGATGACTGGATAAAGAAGCTGTGGTATATTTATACAATGTAATACTACTCAGCCATGAAAAAGAATAAAATAATGCCATTTGCAGCAACATGGATGGACCTGAAGATTGTCATTCTAAGTAAAGTAAGCCAGAAAGAGAAAGAAAAATACCATATGATATCACTCATATGTGGAATCTGAAAAAAAAAAAGGACAAACTTATTTACAAAACAGAAACAGACTCAGACAGAGAAAACAAACTTATGGTTACCAGTGCAGGGACATGGGGTGGAAAGGGATAAATTAGGAGTTTGAGATTTGCAGATACTACTGTATATAAAGTAGATAAATAAGAAGTTTCTTCTGTATAGCAAAGGGAACTATATTCAATTATCTTGTAGTAACTTACCGTGAAAAAGAATATGAAAATGAATATATGTACGTTCATGTAAGACTGGAGCATTACGTTGTACACCAGAAATTGACACAACATTGTAAACTGACTATACTTCAATAAAAATATATACCACACACACAAAAGAAACAATCCTCAAGACAGACCTGCAGTGGTCACCACAATGGGAGTTTGCCGTGGTCTATTCTGCCATGTAGGTCCCCAACTTGGGCTCAGGAGCCCCTGGTGCTGGGCAGTGGCACCAGAGAAGGAGGGTGAGGGTGAGGCTAAGAGGGCTGAGCCTCCCTGAAGAGCACGGCCATACTGACCTTGCCCTCATCATCTTCAACCAGGATTTTGCCAGGCTTTGTCTCTCTGACGATGCCCCCAATGGCCACACTGGTCTTGTTGGCAGAGGTGGGGTTCAGCCACACATGGTCACCCTGGAGGGCAGAGAGATAGTGGTCAGATCCAGACTCCAACTTCCCCTTCCTGCTCAGGACTTACTTCTCCTGGGGGCTGTCCCCTCCAAGCAGGAGATCCCAAGTTGGCTGGGGCATGCTCTCTCCCCCTTGTCCTCCTCCCCTTCCCCTCCTCCTTCTCCTCCTCCTCTTACTTTTTCTTCTTCCCTCTCTCCTACCCAACCCCTGTCCTTTCTTGCTCTTGCCAGGAAGGCGGCAGTGGAAGCTTCCCTGGTCTAGCTTGTTGTTAGGAAATAAACAAGCTGTTTTGGCAGGAAAGTGACTCTCTGTGAAGTAGAAAACAGTCTTTGCCCTGTGAATAGCCTTAAAGTACCCAAATCCATTGGCTGGCGAAAAACAAAGACTAAAATCTAACTAGGTTTCTGCCTGGCCTACAACATGGCACTGACCCCCGTGAACCTCTTTCTGATCCAAGGAAGCTCACCCCATTCAAAGAGGAGTAACCCGAAAGGAACAAGCAGGTGTCTACACACAAAGATGCTGAAGTTCAAGAGGAGGAAAGAAAGCAGGTGAGTAACACTCACAGGGGAGACAAACAGACTGCCACAGGGCAGTGGAAAGTCATGACCTAGTGTTTCATCATGGTTTCCAAAAACTTACTAAGGTGTAGATCAGAGGCACAAGAGCTCAGAAATTAGAAGCCAAGACAAATGAAAAGGATGAGACGTGAATTGGAAGAGCTCAAGGAAGAAATGGAGGAAAAGAAAGAAACATGGACCAGAAATAAAAGCAAAACTGGAAACAGTGAGAGGGTAGTAAATGCTGCTAAATCATGGTAAAGATCATAGAAAACAGGAGAAAAGTGGGCAAAAGGTCAAGATTAGGAAGAAAGGGATAGATATGGAAGACAGGGAAAAATACAAATAATCAAAGTGCCCAAAGAAGAAAACTAGGGGGAAAAAAAGCAGAAAAATTATTTAACGATATAATTCGAGAAAACTTTCCAGAAATTAATGAAGCCTTGAATCTATGGACTGAAGGCACACCAGGTGCCAGGAAGTAATGACAAAGAAAAATCAACTCTAGGACATATACTAGTAAAGGTTATTGAACTTCAAAAGTAAAGAAACATTTGGGAGTGGGTAGGCAGACAAAAAGGTGAGTCTGCTTTTAAGGAAAAAAATTAGAACAAATTCAAATCATACACGAGGGCTGAACAACTCCCACAAAGGTCTCAAGAAAAGAGAAATACAGCTATTAGGATGGCCACTGTCCAAAGAATAGAAAACAACAAGTGATGGTAAGAATGTAGAGAAACTGGAAACTTGTACACTGTTGGTGGTAATGTAAAATGGTGCAATCACTGGGGAAAACAGTATGATTCCTCAAAAAATTAAAAATAGACTTACCATATGATCCCACTTCTGGATATATATCCAAAGAAATTAAAAGAAGGATCTCAAAGACATATTTGTACTCCCATGTTCATTGCATTATTATGCACCATAGCCAAGAAGGGAAAGTAACCCAAATGTCCATTGGCAGATGAATCCAATAAACAAAAATATAGTATATACAGTCCTCTCTCAGTATATTTGGGGGATTGGTTCCAGGAGCCCCTGCAGATACCAAAATCCATGCAGGTGGAGTTTAGAAGTGAGGAGCTAAGTTTTTAGAGATACAGAGGGAAACATCAAAGAATCAACAAATCATGTTCAAGTGCCTTACATAAAATGGCATAGTACAGTGAGCACTACACACAACAGAGTTTTATGCAGCCTTAAAAAAGAACGAAATCCTGTCACAGCTACAATGTGGATGGACCTCAAGGACATTATGTTAAGCAAGAGAAGCCAATCACAGAAGGACCAATACTGTATGACTCCACTCATGTCCATTATATAAAAAAGTAAAAATCATAGAAACAGAAAGTGGAAAGGTGGTTTCAGGGGCTGGAGGAGGAGGGAGGGAACATAGTGTTTAATGAGTATAGAGTTTCAAGTTTGCAAGATGAAAATGTTCTCACATCTGTTGCACAACAATGTGAACATACTTCATAATATTGAACTGGATGCTTAAAAATGGTTAAGATGGTACATTTAATGTTCTGTGTTTTTTAACCACAATAAAAAAGAAAAAAAATCCCCCAACTTTTCACCTAGCCAAATTATCATTCCAGTATAAAGGTAACAAACATTTTTGAAGATGTAATATTTTCTGATAAGCCTTTTGGATCACACCAACACCCACAATCATGAAGTTTCAAAATACTTGGGACCAAGAAAAGATCATAAAAGCTTTCAGAGAGAAAAAATGAGTTATACAAAGGCTGAAGAATTAGAGTGGTGTTGGATTTCTTACCAGCAACGCTGGAAAGCAGAAGACAATGTGGAGTACATGTCTTCACAGTTTTCATGTAGAATTATATCCAGTATGGAATCCTATGTCCAGCTGATGTTCCAATGTGAATAAAAATATTTTTAGGCATGGACGATGTTGAAAACATTCACCTCATTTGTATCATTTCTCAGGAAGCTATTACAGGTTGTGCTCGATCAAAACAAGGGGCAAATCAAAAGAAAGACAAACCTTGGGTCCAGGAAAAGAGATTCAGTGCAAAGGAAAGGCACAAGGATCACTCAGGGTGGTTGTGAAGGAGATTCCAAGATATTCCAAGGTACGTGCTTCAGAAGTAGGAGGTGCCAGTCAGCAACTCTGGGAGAGATTTCTTCCTGAGGGTGAAGTTGATTGAACTTCCAGATGAATCAGGAAGTTTTGAAAGGAGACTGACATATCTGGGAGAAAGCTGGGGGGTTACATCGTGGTTAAATACATAGAAAACAAAGCAGATGGGGGGAAAGACCATTACAAAGTCTAGCAAAACGGAAGCACAGCACCTGGAGTAGATGCATGGCTCGGGCGAGAGGAGCATCTTCTTAGGTAACATAAGTAAACTCCGTATGTGGATCTGACGAAAGCCAGGATTTAACAACTTTGGGAGGATGGAGAGACAGATAGTATGAGTGCTGCAGGTGGGGGGTTAGGAGCAAGGAGTTAAGGCCTTTCTCACCTTGTGGAGAGGCAGTAATAGATGATGCCTGAAACCAAAAACTCAAGGAGCACTGTACACATGTTCTTTAGAGGCACAGAGGGAAATATCAAAGAATTAACAAGAAGGGTGGATGGTGGTCACCTCTGTGGAAGAGAAAGTGGGGGATGAGTCTTTAAACTACATGTCCATGTAACTGAGCAGGACCCTGCTGTCATCAGTGACCATCTGACATGTCCAATGTTGTTTGTTACTGCCTAACTGTATAATGGTTTAAAGGGTTTTTCTCATGCTCTTGCTGACCAGGGTTAGGCTAGAGAGGAGGGAGGCGTAGGTGATCCCCCAACCCCCTCGTGGTGTTGCATGCAAGGATCATGCTCAGTGGTGCCCTGCTCTTGCCCCTAGTGCCCTGCTCTTGACCTGATACCTAAGAAATGGCAGTTGGGTGTTTTGTGCACCTTGTTGTTCTTAACTATCCTCAACTGGGCATGTCTGCAGCTGTTTTTGACCCCTTGTGCTTTCCTCGTATCCTGTTGTTCGAGCTGCTGGCCTCAGCCTGCAGCAGGAGGTCCCAGGCCTCAGCCTGCTTAAAAGGATAAAAGTATTTATCAACCTGACTTTAAACTGCACATGTTTTTCTCTCAAGCTCTTTTCTACAGAACCCCTACCTAGGCTTCCTGTGTTCCAGGTACAAGAACATTAAAAGAGCCCTGAAGCTGGAGGTGAGCTTCATACCCAGCAGAGGGAAGGGGACCACTACATCTGCAAAAACAATAACAATTTTGCAACAATTTGTTACCCTGTGTGTGAGCTCTGTGGAAACTAGCTCTGCCCCTTGAACTCTTGAACTTTTACTATAAAACCTACTGCCTTCTCTCCCCAGTAGGCTCACAGTCTTAGAGGCAGTAGCTAACTGTGACCTCCTTTGCCTGGCAAAAAAATGAAGCTGCCTTTTCTACATCATCCAAAACTCTGTCCTTGAGTCTCAATTCAGTAAACAGGGGTATGGCGGCCATGTTCTGGCAACACCTATAACAGCTTCATACAAATAAAAGCTGAATTAAAAAGAACAGCAAGAAAGAGCTGTTACAGGATGCAAAAGACCAGCGTGAGCAACATACTGGGCTCAGTGAACTAATTAAATCACGCCAGGAACCTCAGGGACCTGGAGCTTTCCCACGACAAGGATAAAGTTCCAGTGTGAAAATTACAGCCTGCTGCTGAAACAGCTGGCAAATCAGCAAAGTGGGAAGATTAAAAGTCAAGACAGGTGATGGGCGTCTCACAGGAGATGGTATTAACCAGAAGTGAAAAAGACAGAGAGACCATTTCCAATCCAAACTGAATGCAAAGGGGTCAGCCCAACTTGAGCTGGAAGAATAAACAAAAGAGCTGGAATATTCATTCCTTCCATTTAGCCAAAGCTCTACTAGGAAAGAAATGAGAAGCCAAGTAGCAGAAAACAGAGCTTCTTCGTGAAGCCTATTGGCAGCAAAAAAATGACTGCGTGGAAGCAGCTGAATCAGGGAAAAAATGAACAAGAAGAGAGAAAGCAGAAGCTATCAGCTGCAAAGAAAGTAAAAGTCTATGTTGAGATTCATGAGCTAGAGAATGCGTCACAGAAAGCAGAGAGATCTATGTATTTGTCCATGATGTAGAAAGGCTCCTGCCGCAGCCTGAGACAGAAATTTCTAAGAGGAAACTCAAAGGCCTGAAGCCATGAAGAATCCACTTCCGGGGCACCTGATCTTCCATCTCCCGAGATAGGCCGGCTTTTCTGGCCACTCAAGGAAGTGGGCGGCGTGTCCCCATCCAACGTACCCACCCACCATGTCATTCTCTTGCCTTAGGAGAAGAGATGGGTCTACAGATGGCTCTGTGCTGCATTTACTTAGATAAATGGGGTTTCACATGGGCCTTGAAGGAATCTCCAGCAGGAGCCTCCAGGCTAAACTCCAGAGACGGTCCATCAGAAGACTCACAGAACCTCTCCCTTCTGTAGGGACAGGTGCCATGGTTACTGCTGGTGCCAAGGACCCTATTTTTCCCAGGAATGCACCCCCCACCACTGAAGATAAGGAACGGTACATCTGCCATCAAGATCTATGAATGTTTATGGCTTCATGAATCGGGGACTGTGTCAATCAAGAGAGGTACTTTGCATTTCAAAGGATTTCAACCCAGTCTCACCCATTGAAGATTCCCAGCCCCTCTGCACACAGGTATATAAATATCTATAGTTTTCACTTGGAAATAAAAGTGGGGTTTCATTAAAGTGACTAAAGGTCATGCTCCACCTGGGGCCCTGGGATGGCTCAGAATGTGTGGCAGGACCAGGGTCTGGGTTCCTTCACTGGCCCATTAGGTGGAGTGGAGGAGCTGTTGATTCCGGCAGGAGCAAGGTCTATCTGCATGTTCATCCCTAAGTCAGATCCTGTGTAGTTACACACATGTGATGGGGTTCCCAGAGGTGAAATGGGAGAAAATTTGGTTGAAACAATATGTTGGCAATGCAGGATCTTTTATCTTCTGCAAAAGTCTTCAGTTTTTACCTGGGAACTCACCCCTTCCCAGCTCTTAGTCCATGTGGTTCTTGGGGAGCACCCTCCCTCTCCCCTGAAGGGTGGGGCAAGCCCACTCTTTCCATCTCCTCAGCTGCTACCGAAGGACACTGTATGCCATGTTCAGTCTGTACATCTTCCGTGTGTTCTAGGCCGATGCTGCCCAATGGAAATACACAATGCGAACCACATGTGTAACTTAAACTGTTCTAGTGGCCACGATCATCCTCCTCTCAAGGAACTTGCGATCGTAGAAGACAGAACGGGCCTGCAGTTGCACTCGAGAGTCACATGCACACAGGAGATATCTTTCCAAACTCTGCTTGAAGTTGGTCACAATTCCGTCACATTCCCAGCGGGACCGTTGGAAGTAATGCATCTCACAGGTGAATTCCTTTGTGAAATAAACCTGGCTTTGCTCCAAAATCTCCTCATACTTCCAAAGCGGTGCCACGTTCCAGTGGTTGTGATTTTGTTCTCCAAGGCCCATGCAACCTGCATGTTTAGACCACGTGTGTTCTCTCTCCCTTCTTTCCCTGGGGGTGATCTGACTCAGCCCTTGGCAAGCCCCACCAAGAACCCCTAGACGGAGGAGATGCAAGTCTTACCAGTCGTATGCCCGACATCCTGGGGCAGCCGTTGCTCACAGCCTGTGTGCGGAAAGAAAGCAGAATGTCAGTCCTCGTGGCTCTGGATGTGGGACCCTGGAGGAGCGGGGCCACCCGTGTCCAGAGGCGTGCCCCTGAGTGCCTGGCATGGGGCCAAGAAATGACTTGACAAAATGGACAGATGAGTCATCATCCCATCCCACCCAAGCGGAAGAGGCTGCCCGGACACCCTCGCTTCCTCCTGCCCCATCTCATCTATTTTACACTCAGCATTGGGCTCAACACAGGGAGTAGGGTGGTTCTGAACAGGTTTAAAACACTGTCCCCGTCACCCACAAGTCAAACTGTATCTGGTCAGACATCTGTGAAAACCAGCCATCACCACTCACCATAGGGAGTGTGGAGGGAAGCAGACGGCGTAAACACAGACACAGCAAACACTGTCTAAACCTCACAGCACACCCCAAACACAGGTATCCCCAATTTCATACGTGGGCTCAACAAAGAAGAGGTGGTCTGTTAACCAGCAGCATAGCTGGCAATCCCACCTGGCTCTGCCTCCTTTCAATCCTGTGCCCCGCACCTGGCTGTCTCCCGGGGGCTCTGGGAGCGCAGAGGTGGAGGTGTAGATTGTCACGCCAGCCGGTGGAGGAGGAAGGTCACCGCCTTGATCCAAAGGAGGAGCCCAGCCTTGCCCCTCCGTGCGGGGTGCAGCGTGAGGCAGGTACCCACTGCTGGTTTTGTTCACCCCCTGCTCCCTGTGTCTAATGCAGAACTGCCCCCGGGAATGACCCAGGAAATATTTATTCAGTGAAACAGAGAATGGAGCCCTTGGAGAGGATGTCCTTTCTTGATGCTTTTTCCAGATGAGTAAGAATTCACAGTGGAAGCAAAGACAGGTGTTCTCTAGGGACGCTGTGACTTTAGCAAAGGCAGAGGGGCAAAGGGCAAAGGATGTGAAGGGTCCACACTGAGTGGGACAAAGAGTCTTTGGCCACT